CTCTTCCTCAACAATCTCTGCTAGCCTGCCCTCTCCTCTTGCTCAACAATCTCTGCCAGCCTGCCCTCTGCTCTTCCTCAACAATCTCTGCTAGCCTGCCCTCTCCTCTTCCTCAACAATCTCTGCCAGCCTGCCCTCTGCTCTTCCTCAACAATCTCTGCTAGCCTGCCCTCTCCTCTTCCTCAACAATCTCTGCTAGCCTGCCCTCTCCTCTTCCTCAACAATCTCTGCTAGCCTGCCCTCTCCTCTTCCTCAACAATCTCTGCTAGCCTGCCCTCTCATCTTCCTCAACAATCTCTGCTAGCCTGCCCTCTCCTCTTCCTCAACAATCTCTGCTAGCCTGCCCTCTCATCTTCCTCAACAATCTCTGCTAGCCTGCCCTCTCCTCTTCCTCAACAATCTCTGCTAGCCTGCCCTCTCCTCTTCCTCAACAATCGCTGCCAGCCTGCCCTCTCCTCTTCCTCAACAATCTCTGCTAGCCTGCCCTCTCCTCTTCCTCAACAATCTCTGCTAGCCTGCCCTCTCCTCTTCCTCAACAATCTCTGCTAGCCTGCCCTCTCCTCTTCCTCAACAATCTCTGCTAGCCTGCCCTCTCCTCTTTCTCAACAATCTCTGCTAGCCTGCCCTCTCCTCTTCCTCAACAATCTCTGCTAGCCTGCCCTCTCCTCTTCCTCAACAATCTCTGCTAGCCTGCCCTCTCCTCTTCCTCAACAATCTCTGCTAGCCTGCCCTCTCCTCTTCCTCAACAATCTCTGCTAGCCTGCCCTCTCCTCTTCCTCAACAATCTCTGCTAGCCTGCCTATTTCTTAAGAAAAACTAAACAATACAAATTCAAATTCATATCTTGAAAAGAGCCATCAATCGTTTGGTGATTATTTGAAGGAGGGTGTCCATGTCAAGCTCGGGCAGGGCAGCTGTGCGTTTCGAGCAGCTTTTCCCTCTCTCTCTCCCTCTCTCTCTCTCCCTCTCTCTCTCCTCTCTCTCTCTCTCTCTCCTCTCTCTCTCTCTCTCTCTCTCTCTCTCTCTCCCTCTGCATAGACACGCGTTCGCCTGGAACATCATAGGGGCTCCCTAAAGACCCGAACAAAAAAAGCGATTTTTCGACAGTTGGACACCAGGCGAATGAGGGGTGGGTTGAAGGGTGTGCGTGAAAGGGGGGATTTTGACGATAGACTGGAGTCTACTGTCTGGGCGAGAGTTTGGACGAAATGCTCCACGTTACGGTATGGGGCACGAAAAACCGAAGATTACTAGAAACGGGAGGGGGTTCAATTTCTGAGCATCATCTACAACTATATTCTCCACACAGTGGTTGAAATTTCCTTGACAAAAAAGCGCTGGTTTCCCGAAACATTTTCCTTAAACAAAAAAAAATGGAGAAAAGTGTTTTTTTTCTGTGAAGTTCACCACAATGAAAAATGCAAATTTTTCAAAAGGCGCACTTTCCAGACGGATTTTAGATTGGGCAAATTGAGGGGAGGGGAGGCATCAAATATCTCGGCTGGATGACGAACGTCTGGAAGAGAGAGAGAGAGAGAGAGAGAGAGAGAGCGTGAGCGTGAGAGTGCGCGAAAGACAGATAGCGAGAGACCTGGAGACTGAGAGAGAGAGATAGAGAGAGATAGCGGAAGAGAGAGGGAAAAGGAGAGAGAGACAGGGGGGAGAGATAGAGGGAGCGAGAGAGCGGGCGAGAGAAATACAGAGGCAGGGAGAGAGAGCGGGAGGAAGAGAGCGAGATATGGAGAGAGACAGAGTGAAAGAGCGAGAGAGAGGAAGAGAGAGCGAGAGAGAGCGACAGAGAGCAAGAGAGAGAGCGAGAGAGAGAGCGAGAAAGAGAGAGCGAGAGCGAGAGCAAGCGAGAGAGAAGCAGAAAATATGTGTGTGAGGTGTTTGTAAGCCGATCCCTATCCGCCATCTTGGATGTGCCCCTGGGGCACATCCAGGAAGAACAGCAATGCGATCCCTTCACCGCCGTTTTTAGGAAAAGACCGGAAAAACCGTTTCTCTCTGTGTGCCGTCCATTTTTTACCCCATCGCTCCCCTGGCAAGGAAATGAATATTTCTTCCAGGTACACCAGGGGGAACCCAGTTGAACAGGTGCCTGTTGCCTGGAACTTCAGGAAAGCGCTGATAATTTTAGGGATTTCGCTAGGACATAGTAAAGGCATTCTGTTGAAAAAACTGAACAATTCCTCAAGAATCTCTGCTAACCTGCCCGAGACTGGTTCTAAAACCCATAACAATTATTGAAAATTCGTGTTTCAAAATTGTCGCACTACAACATCGAGCCAGGCACAATAATCCGTCGATAAACCGGACCATAACCAAATCTAGTCATACAAGTTGTTTTAATTAACTTAATAATTTTATCGTTGATTTAACGTTACGGCGCTTGTGCATTATCGGGGGAGTTTATCAGGAGTGAAATTGAATTTTTACAGGTCGTAAAACGCCTAGTCCCGTTTAGTAAGTTTTTTCTAGTGTTTTAAAATTTAACGATATTGAAAATCGAAAAAGTATCCAACAATCGTAAAAATAATCTGCTCTTTAGCCTTAAATTCACCGTATGAATCTCTGCTAGCTTGCCCGCTATTAAAATATTCAAAAATGTTTCGAAATTCATGTTTCAAAATTTTGGCTTTAGTGCAGCGAATAAGACGCAATATTTAAGCTCAGCGTCATGCTGGTAATCCAAACTAGGTAAACAATTTTCCTTTATTTAAAATACATTTTATTTACTTGATTTGACGGTGCTTGTCTATTATCGGGTGTGGTTATCAGGACTGAAACAAAATTTTTAAAATTTATTTGCGTCTGGTAAGCCTTAAATTATTGTTTCTTACCGAATTAAATTGTATTTAAATCGCAAAAAATTTTGTAAAACTTTCCAAATAATTAGATAAATTGAAAAATCTGATATTCGATATTTTTGTTGATATTTTTAGTACAATTTTTAAGGTTTGCACGCTTAAGAATAGTGAAAAACAGTTTAGAAACACTCGTTTATTTTTATTAAAAAAAAGTGAATCCTAAAGAAAACAATTGATCCCCCGCCCCCCCCCCGATAACGCAAAAGCACCCTATTCATTATTTGTAAAATAAAAAAATTCGGTAAAATTAGCATAAAATGAAAGGTACATTTTTAGGTGGGGGTGGCGTGGGTGGGAGAGATGAGGTAAAATTGACTTCACCTTTCTAGGCAAAGTCCTAGCCGCCGAAAAGCCGTGGTGGGACCCGAGGAGTCGGGGGATAAGCCAGCCACCACCTAGAAAAGGCCTACTAGGGGGCCATTTGCAATTTAATTGGATGCGGCGACATTTTTTTCGTTTTCGGGATCGCCGGAAGCCCCCGTCAGAACACACAACTTTTCGAGTTGGCAAGAGAGAGGAAGAGGGAAGAGAGAGTGAGAGAGAGAGACAGACCGGAGAGAGTGAGAGAGAGTGAGAGCGAGAGAGGTGGAGACCGCAGGCGAGAGCGAGTGATAAAGAGATAGACAGAGCGAGAGAGAGAGTGAGAGAGCTAGAGAGGTAGAGAACGCAAGCGCGCGAGAGAGAGAGCGTGAGAGTGAGAGTGGGGAAGAGATAGATAGACAGAGCGAGAGAGAGCTAGAGTGATAGAGAACGCAAGCGAAAGCGAGAGAGAGAGAGAGAGAGGGGAGAGAGAGAGCGAGAGAGAGAGAGGGAGAGAGAGAGAGTGAAAACCACCTAGAATGTCATACTCCTGCACTCATTTTATGCATCAAAGAGCCTCTACCACACTACCTGATCATATGCTAATTACAACACATAAACCGTCAAAACACATTTTTTTCAAAATTTTTGAAGCATTTTTGGAACATACTAAATGAAAGGTGACCTAAAGACCGTATTTTTTGAAAAATAGACGAAAAATCAAATTAGAATAGTCCCTAATTACATTGATAAAGTGAAGTGCATCAAGACAGCCAATACCATAAATTAGTGAATAAAATACCAAGATTCTGAGAGCTCGGAGAAAAGAAATTCATGAGCATATAACAAAAACAATTTTTTCAAACGAAAAACGACACGAAACCACGAAAAACGAAGTTGCATAGAATTCGATCCGATTTCCCATGCGAGACTTGTCTCTCTCCCCTTGAGAAAATCGAATTCTGGCATAAAATCGGGTTTTGAAAAATAGAAAAATAACATACAATATTAAAAAGTCTTATAATGGAATAATGAATGGAGAATAACAGAATATTTTACTGTTAAAGTGAGGAGAAACCGGCTCCTTATTTTACTCGGTTTCGACGTATTTTATTGTCATCGTCATAACGACCAATTCATAAAAATAGCAAATTTCGCAATGCCGATGTTTCCGTACTATGAAAGCTTTTGTCCACATGAAATGTAGGTTTTACGAAACAAATAATTTTTGATATCTGTCCATTTTTAAAAATTTCAATAACCTTGGAAAAAATTTAGTTTTTTAACTAATTTACCTACTATGACACTTTTATAGGATGAATTTTGACATTTTTAGAACTCATTTTTCGTTATTTCGGCATTATTTCGGCATCATGAATTTGGGCGCTTAAAGGGATACCCAATGTTTTGGCGGCAAATATATAGTTATGTATTCCGGGGAGTACAAATGACGCGCGAATTTTGTGCGGTAATGGATGCCCAGTGCCGCACAGAATTCGGCCTCCTCTCCCTCTTGTGGCGTCCCCATCCCACCCAATGGCTTGCCACTATGGCCTAATGGATAGCATACAGGCCTAGAAAACGGGGGTCCCGGGTTCGACCCCCGCGCGCGCCATGGTTTTTGCTTTTTGAGCCCCGAAAAGGTTGGGTATCCCTTTAAGACATTATGACAGCATTATTTCGACATCATGAATTCGATATCAAAATAAATAATACGTCTTTTGAAGCCCCCACGTAGCGCGTCTAGACCTAGTCATCCTAAGGGGTCGATTTGACCGCTTCCCGGTTCCTTTAAATGATTAAATGAGTTTTCAGCCCGTCACCCCGTCGATGTTCAACAACTTTGCCAGCACCGTGGAGGGGGAATTCCAAGTGAAGTGGGTGCAGCATTACTTGAATACATTCCGCGTTTTCTTCCAGACTTGGTCATCTACTAGCCCGCGAAAAGGACAAGGGCGGATTGCAGATGCAGGTAGGTTTTCTAGTTTCTAGTTTTAAAATATAGCAATTGTTCAGGAAACGAAAAAAGCCCCGCTGGTCTACGTTCCGGCAGACGACGAGACGTACGGTATCCGGAACTGGAATTCGAATCAAAAGGTGGTTTTTGCCTTCAGATAAGAGCGAGAGCGCGAAAGAGAGAGAGAGAGAGAGAGAGACAGACAGACAGGGAATGCGAAACTACGTTTAATTGAGAAGTTTTAAAAAAGACAAGTGTTAATTTTCGAGCAAAACACAATTTTTCAAAACCTGGTTTTCTATTGTTTTTTTGTACGCGTAGCGCGTTTTTACTTTGCCGCTTCCTTTAAAACTTTTTGGACCTACCTCGAGTTTTCAAATTCGATGACTGTACTCTAGTTTTTGCTTGCTGGCCAAAAGTGAGCTGGTCGAATTATTGAGTTTTGCGCTCGATTTGCGTCCAAATTTTTTGAAACGCAATTTTTCAAAACACAAAAAGCAAATACTTTTTTCTTTATTTTTTCTTTTCTTTTTTTTATTTTACACATTTAAAAGGGCCAAAATAGTTAATTTTTCAAATAATAGTGATATATCTTTTCGACCCTATTAAACTCCTATTTTTCAGGTTTGAAGACTTTTTCTAATCTATAAGCTTTTGAAGTCAGACATGAATTAGGCCTTTTATTTATACGTAAATCACGAATAAATCAACAAGTTCTGCACTCAATTTGCCTCCTATTTTTTGAAACATAATTTTGTAAAAACGCAAAAAAGCTAGTTTGCTTTATTAATTTTTGTCTATTTTATGTTGTGCTATGTCAGAAATATTTCAATAAAATAATGAATGTTGATTTTTGCCTTGTAAAACCCGGAATTCGTAATTTTTCACGACTGGGTTTTAGGGGTTTTTTATTTAGGGAGGGTTTCTACCTTTATTTAATTGTGGGAACACCCCGTGATCGATTATCAAGTTCTGCGCCCGATTGGCGTCCCAATTCTTTGCAACATAAATTTACAAATTCAAAAAAATGAAAAACCTATATTTATTGATTTTTTGTCTAATTTAAAAGCTCATTATAGCTATAAAATTTTGTTACAGCCAAAAGTCAATTTTTTTCCTTTTCAGATGATGTACCTTCTCTGCCAATTCTTCCCACCCATCCCCACTTCCGGCCGGTGCTGGGACCCGGTGAAGCCGATGGGGCACTGCTTTCCGGTTTGCGGTAATAAAATTTTGCGCTAAAAACTTTAAATATCACTTGATGAACGCAATTTTACCGCAGATTGCTAAAAACCAAACCAAAAGCTGAAATTACCGAAACTGTTTCAATGTTTCACGGAATTCCCAGGCTCGAGCAGCAGGTTCTTGAATAATTGGAGCTCTGCTTTCGCGAAAAAAATTTAGGAGCCACACTCGATTTCGCGGCGCACGAGATCAAATTCGCCGACATGGCGCTGGCGATCAGGGCCGCCGAGGAGGAGCTGGGCACGGCGGAAATTGTAGGGATTAGAGCAGGCTAGTAGCACAAACAATTTGCGGTATCTAGATTTTCGTCGCGCTGGAGCGAACCAACGACGACGCGATGTCTATGGAATACCAGGTTTCTCTGCTGCCGATCGAGTCGCACGGGTTTTTTGACGAGGAGCTGTACAAGAGGCTGGCACACACCATCAAGGCCAAGCTGTTCGAGCTGAGCGGTAAGGGAGCGAGAGAGAGAGTGAGAGAGAGAGAGAGAGAGAGAGTGACAGCGAGGGAGTGAGAGCGAGAAAGCGAGAGCGAGAGAGCCTGAGAGAGCTAGAGAGCGTGAGAGAGAGAAAGAAAGAGAACGAGAGAGAGAGAGGGGGGGATAAAGAAAGAGAGAGCGAGAGCAAGAGAGAAGCGAGAGAGCGATCCAAAGTTCAAATTTAGTATCCCACTACTCGTTCAGCAACTTCCGACTGCGCCTGTCCAGGACCGATTTTACGCCGAGTCGAGGTGGGAACTCGCTTAATTTCAATTTTTATCTTTTTTTGTTCTTTTTTGAAACTATAAATACTCTTTTCATTCAAAAAAATTTTTTAGTGGCAAAAATCCTCGGGACAGCCCTATTTTGCATGTTGATGCTCGGCACGTTTTTGTGGTATCACTGGAGGACGGGGACGTATCGTAGATTGTGAGTTGTTGGCGAGAGAGAGAGCCCGCGAGAGAACGGGAGAGAGAGAGAGAAAGAGAGAAAGAGAGAGACAGACAGAGAGAGAGAGTGTGTGAGAGAGCAAGAGCTTCATATTCTAATTTTAGCACGGCCACCCGTAATCTACTACCCAACATCCCGGTGCTGTTCAGCCGCAAGAAATCGGAAGACGTCGTCGAGCTTCTTCCTAGTGATCCGAAGGTCATTTGCATACTATAATTCAACCATTTTACATTTAAAATCTTTACTGAATACCTCAAGATTTTCTGAACGTTGTTTTGTAGGAATCCACGTTTCCAGAAGACCCATATGTAAATCTCAATTTCGAGGAGCACGAGGAGGAGAATGAGGAAAATCTAGCATCAGGTATCAGAATCAACTCTTTTTCCAATTAGCATAATTAAAATTCATGAAAAATATTTTAGTTTTGTCGAAAATCAGAATTTTTAATATTTCGGCATTTTTGTCGAAATTGTCGAAATGCATTAAATTTCTTCGAAAGGGATTTTCGACAACCTTTCGACAAACGGCAGAAAAGCTCAAATTAGCATATCCAGAGGTCGAGGAAATCGAGCCGCATACTGTAGCCGTACGCAGCAACGACACGGAACTGACGCTCCTGGATTTTTGACTATGAAATTTAATAAACTATTTATATATAGCATCGGCTATCGATTCAAATATTCAAATTCTATCTACTTATTTTTGCAATATTTCATAAATTTTTGCCTGATTTTTTAAACTTTTTTAGAGTATGCAAATTTCTGTATAGTTTTCCAGGGTAATTGCTTACTTAACAAGACAAGCAAAACAATAAATGCAGATAAATCTAAATCTAAATATAATTTTTGCAATATCTTGCTCTTATTTTCACCCAATTTGCATATTTTACATACCCAGAAAATTCGAAAATTCCAAGAATTTATTGATCCAAGGCACCCGCATTTCAGAGACACACACACCAAAAAATTATTCACACACAAAAACAAGCAAATAGCCAGAAAAAGGCGAAAAATTCAAGAATGCACCCTACCATTAATGCACGGATTAAGGAAATTATGCTAATTTTTGTCTGAATTTTTCAGGAAAATTTGAAAAGCCAAAATCATTAATGCGTCAAGGACGAGAGACCAGTTTTGCGCTATCAACCAAACGGTACCAATCGGTTTCGCGGGAGCGCCAAAATTTACATATTTCTAGAATGAAGGAAAAATGAAAATCACTTAAATTAAATTAGAAAACGATTGGGACACGATTAAACTAAATTCTGTTAGCTTATATCGTTGGGAATGAGCAAAATTAGAGTGCCAGGTGAGGGTGGGCTAGGCGAGATTCGAAGGGACGAGATTATGCAGATTAGGGGGGGGGGCGTCTATTTCCGTTTTTTGGCCTTGGGAATGTCGCGGAAATTCTCGGGCACTTCGGAGAGGATGCTGTGCCAAGTGCCAACCGGTTTCGATTTCTGAAATTTTAAATTAAATAGATTTATAGCAATTTTTTCAATTATTTCAGCCAAGCTAAACCTAAGATAAGCCTAAGCCTAAGCCTGAGCCCTAAGCCTAAGCCTAAGCCGAAGCATAAGCCTAAGCCTAAGCCGAAGCATAAGCCTAAGCCTAAGTAGAAGCTAAGCTGAGGGCAGGCTAGCAGAGATTGTTGAGGAAGAGGAGAGGGCAGGCTAGCAGAGATTGTTGAGGAAGAGGAGAGGGCAGGCTAGCAGAGATTGTTGAGGAAGAGGAGAGGGCAGGCTTGCAGAGATTGTTGAGGAAGAGGAGAGGGCAGGCTAGCAGAGATTGTTGAGGAAGAGGAGAGGGCAGGCTAGCAGAGATTGTTGAAGAAATATTGCTTACATGTCCCTGATCGGTGTATGCTAATGCAAAGCATTGTTCCCACTGCGTCCTGCCCTGGGAGATCGGGCTGTCATGCCCGAGTATCGTGCAGCCAAGGAGGTCGTCTTTTCCGATGCTAAAAAATAGTTATTTAAATTCAAATAGCATTTTACTGGTTTAATTAACTAAATACACTGATATCGTTTCACAAAAACAATGATTTTTCAAAAATTACATAACGGAAAAACCAACCGATCCCAGTCCATCACTTGCACCAGCATGTTTGTCTCGCCGGCCTGCGTGGAGGGCAGGTCGAACTCGAGCGTCTCGTGGTATACCTTAAATCAAGATAGGCCATGCCTTAAGAAATGATTCTTACCGGGTTCAAATTTGCGCGTTTCGTCGTAGTCTTGCGTAGCTTCACCCGTCGCCCTCGGTACACCTGTTCCACCTTCACGTACGGGTCTGAAAATTGGGGGGTTGGATTGACTTGAAGAGCCTAAGTCGATCCCTAAGCCTAAGCTTAAGTCTAAGTCGAAGCTTAAGTCTAAGCCTAAGCCTCAGCCCAAGCCCAAGCCTAAGGCTAAGCCGAGACCAAGCGCATGGCTAAGCCTAAGCTAAAGCCCAAGCTAAGCCAAAGTCAAGCCAAGCCCAGCCCAGCCAAGCCAAGCCCAGCCTCCCCAGGCTAAAGCCTAAGCCTAAGCATAACCCTAAGCCTAAGCCTAAGCGAAGCCTAACCTGAAACCTAAGCTAAGCCTAAGCCCAATACCTACCGGACGCTCCGGTGATGTCCATCGGCCGTAGGTTGTACGCCTTGGCGACGGTGACCCACAACTTCTGCTCGGTCACCGAGTACGACAAGTAGAGCAGCAGATCGCCAAAATCGTTCTTTTCCTGAAAAAATGACGAGTATACGTTTGTACAGCGCATTAATTTTTCCAAAACTAATAAAACGGCACTTTTTCAGGAAACATGCTAATTTCATCATAATTCTTCGATAGGAAAATCCGATTTTCAGGAAAAATTTAATTGTTTTAACAAAAATAAAACGATTTTTAATAAAGTGAACGATCGAAGTCCTAATAGTCTTTAAAAAATTCAGCAATTTTAGTAGAACATAACTTTTATTAAGAAGGAGAAGAAACGTGTGACAAACCATCAACATTTTCTCAAAAATTTAGAAAATGCAGTTTTTCCGAAACATATTTTTAAGAGCTGAAGCAGTGTTTAAAAATCAATATAATGTAAATTTTGGAAAAAAACGATAAAAATTAGCTTTATAAAAATAGGTGGTATGATTTAGAATAGAGGACTACGAAAATGGGTCTTTCCTTAAAAAATCAGCATTACGCGAATTTCAACGACATTACAATTTTCGTCTTTAAGATTTTAAGTTTTTCGTCAATTGTTAGTAATTTTTAGTTGAACGATCGACGTCCTAATCATCTTTAAAAATTTGACAAGACACAGTTTTTTCAGAAAACATATTTTTTGCTAAGAACAATTTTCGTAGGTGCGAAAATAGCTTATCAAAAAAAAGGAGAAGAATCGTCTGGCAACCCATCAACAATTTTTCAAAAATTTAGAAAATGCCAGTTTTTTCCAGAACATATTTTTCTTATAAAAATTTATACAAAAACATATATTTTTTTATAAACCATAAACGATAACAAATTTGATTTATAAGAAACAGCTAAATAATTTTTATTCGAGAACTACGAAAATGGCTTTTTCTTTGAAAAAATAAGTAGTACCCAGGGTTGGTCACGCTGGATCCTAATCGGATCCGGTCCGGTCCGGGGGTCGGTCCGGTCCGGTCCGGTCCGAAATTTCCATCCGGACCGGACCTGTCCGGTCCGTGGCGGACCGAGGGGCTTTGATTTGCTAGGAGAAACGGAAATGCAACATGCAAATTCGGATTGCAAAGGTGGAGTACGAAAAAATAACGCAATGTGGATCGCTTAATCAAAAATGTATAAAATTACTCATTCCCCATTACTTTTTGGCGATATACGCGACGGATAGTAGCATAGATGTGGAAAAATATGTCAAATTCTTAGAGAGTTGTATTTTGCATACAAAATTTTCCATATCTGGCTCCTGAATCATGTCCTTTTGTGTTCAGCCCGGACCGGTCCGGTCCGAAATTCTCGGATCCACTCGGACCGATCCGGACCGGACCGGACCGCGGACCGTCCGCGGACCGGATCCTTTGTGACCAACCCCGGTAGTACCTGAATATCAACAACAATTAAAATTTTTTCATTTTCATGAAACGTCCATTCTTTGGGAAACATATTTTTGGAATTTTTAAAGTTAAAAACGGTTACTTAGGCTTTTTTTCGGTCTCCTCCCTAAAAATCTCTGCTAGCCTGCCCCCCTCCCCACGCCCACTCACCTGGCTGCAGACGATTTGCATCGTGTACTCGGTCCACGCGTATAAGTCGCTCTTGTCGAACAGGTCGCGCATAATTACGTTGCCTAAACAATTAAACCAATTAAATTATTTAAATTCATTAATTAAATTCAGCGCGATTTTTTAATATAAATAACAATTATTAATTAATAAAGCCTAATTTGAAATCAATAAATTAAATTAAATTTGAATTTATTAATTATTGAACTAATTAATACGATTAACGTAAACAAAGAAATTAAATTCGCCTAGTTATAAATGAATAAAACTAAGGATTGTTTGAATTTTTTAGTTTTGAAAATTTCCAAAACATCATAATTTCGAGTCCTGAAAATTACTCACCTATCAACCCATGCCTCGTGAAGCGGTCGAAATCATAGACGGTGAACTAAAAAACAGCGTTAAAATCGAAAATTAGCCGAAACTTTTAATGTAGTTGTTTCAATTTAATAGCTAAACTAAATGACCTGCAACATTTTACTGGACAACGTGTTGAAGGGCACGTCGAAGCTGAACATTTCGTTAAATTCTAAAATTGATGAGCTACGGTAAATATCTAAAAATTTTGTAATACCTGGATCGTTCGTCTTTTTGCATATTCTCGTTTTACAATGGTTTCGACGGTCGGGGAGGAGGTAGACTTTTACATATGGATCCACTGTTTGCTCCTTGTCCTGAAAAATTGGGGGTGAAATTGGCGAAATCTCTGCTAGCCTGCCCTCTCCTCTTCCTCAACAATCTCTGCTAGCCTGCCCTCTCCTCTTCCTCAACAATCTCTGCTAGCCTGCCCTCTCCTCTTCCTCAACAATCTCTGCTAGCCTGCCCTCTCCTCTTCCTCAACAATCTCTGCTAGCCTGCCCTCTCCTCTTCCTCAACAATCTCTGCTAGCCTGCCCTCTCCTCTTCCTCAACAATCTCTGCTAGCCTGCCCTCTCCTCTTCCTCAACAATCTCTGCTAGCCTGCCCTCTCCTCTTCCTCAACAATCTCTGCTAGCCTGCCCTCTCCTCTTCCTCAACAATCTCTGCTAGCCTGCCCTCTCCTCTTCCTCAACAATCTCTGCTAGCCTGCCCTCTCCTCTTCCTCAACAATCTCTGCTAGCCTGCCCTCTCCTCTTCCTCAACAATCTCTGCTAGCCTGCCCTCTCCTCTTCCTCAACAATCTCTGCTAGCCTGCCCTCTCCTCTTCCTCAACAATCTCTGCTAGCCTGCCCTCTCCTCTTCCTCAACAATCTCTGCTAGCCTGCCCTCTCCTCTTCCTCAACAATCTCTGCTAGCCTGCCCTCTCCTCTTCCTCAACAATCTCTGCTAGCCTGCCCTCTCCTCTTCCTCAACAATCTCTGTTAGCCTGCCCTCTCCTCTTCCTCAACAATCTCTGCTAGCCTGCCCT